TAACTCACATATTCAAGCGGCAAATATGCCAACTCAAATTCAGCCCGAGCCGGTTAGAGCAACCAATGGTGGCAGCAGGGGCTGTTTCCTGCCGCAATTAAGTCCGGCTGCCATGTTTGCCTTGTTCAACCTCAAAGCCGACTGCAATGGCTGTCATATTTATCATTATTATGATATATATATATATATATATATATATATATATATATATATATATATATATATATATATATATATATATATATATATATATATATATATATATATATATATATATATATATATATATATAAAACAATCAATCAAGACCGGCTGTGGCATCGATTCATTGAGCTCAAGCCCGGCTGCCATAAAGCCCGTCTGTAAGCTAAAGCTTGAAGCCCATTGTGATATCTGTTATACAGGCTCACCCCTTTGAAAGCTTACTCAAGCAGCTGCAAATAGGTGAAGAGCAACTGAAAATCAAACGATTGCCAATGCCGACCAACCTTTGAGAACTTGTGTTTGAGCTTGTATGAATTAGCACAGGCGGCAAATTAAGTTCAAGACAAGCGGCATGAAATGACAAATGCCGCATGGTACTACATCAAGGAGCTTGTGATATCTCCGGCTCCGATTCTTAAAACTTTTAAAGCAAATCAAAGCCTCGCCAAGCATTGAATGTTTGAGGTAACAGTATAATAAATTACTGATTTATTCCCTTATAATAATAATTATAATGAATTTTCATTATAACTATTATTATTATTATTATTGAATATTGATTTATTAATTCAATAAACTAAGTTTGGAACTTAGTAGCAAATTCAACGTCCAAGTGACGTGAGGCCAATGGCCGGATAATAAACTAAGTTTGAAACTTAGTAGCTAAACTAACGTCCAAGTGACGTGAGGCCAATGGCCGGATAATAAACTAAGTTTGAAACATAGTAGCGAATTCAACGTCCGAGTGACATGCGGCCAATGGCCAGATAACTAAACTAGGCACAAAACCGCTTAGTGGCTATACAGCCGGTCTCAACCTAGACCAGGGGCCAATGGCCGGATGGTTGCTTTTTTCATAAAATCGTCTGTCCCAACATGGACAATGGCGTCCGGCGACACCCCTCCGGGTGCAATCGTCGTAGAAAGCACTCTATCGTTTGTTTTACGTACGTATGCAAGCGGCAAAAATTGAACGACCTCATTGGTCAACTCATAGCCGCCTGACCTAGGTAATCTAAAGAACGACCAAGTCTTCGGGAACCGGATGTCCAAAAGACGTCAGCCGGTGATCGACCAAAGTTCTAACCTAGATTACCTCCCGAAATTATACAAGTCCTCCCAATGGGGTAGAAGGACATTGAGAGTATAATTGGATTACAAACACCCCAGACGGCCATTTGCTTCCTGCCCTATGAAGAGTCAGGCGACCATTTGCCTCCTGCCCCTAGGCGGCCATTTGCTTCCTGCCCCATGAAGAGTCAGGCGGCCATTTGCCTCTTGCCCCCAGACGGCCATTTGCTTCCTGCCCCATGAAGAGTCAGGCGGCCATTTGCCTCCTGCCCCCAGGCGGCCTTTTGCCTCCTGCCCTGTGAAGAGTCAGGCGGCCATTTGCCTCCTGCCCCCAGGCGGCCATTTACCTCATGCCCAGTGAAGAGTCAGGCGGCCATTAGCCTCCTGCCCTCAGGCGGCCATTTGCTTCCTGCCCCATGAAGAGTCAGGCGGCCATTTGCCTCCTGCCTTATGGGATGTCAAACGTCTCAAAAATATTCTAAGTCTCCCAAAGGTCATATGACCACCATAGTGGGGCTAAAAGAAATAAAAGTCGTCATCTGTCTAGTTCAGGCAGCAATCATTATTATGATTGATTAACTTAGAAAATATCATACCATTTAAGGTATCAAATTTTCCAAGTTAATCAAATCCCTCTTTTATTGAACTAGACATATGCCGCCCATAGAGCTTTTGAACAAGCGAAAAATAAAGCCTTGATTTCGAAAGGAGTAATTCCTCTTGAAAGAGAAATTACCCCTTCCGAGGGGCTAATGTTTGGGGGTAAAAATACCCCCTATATATGTGGACCAATGCCACCTCGACACGTGTCCGCAAGCTCAGCGCTCAATGAGCCAATTAGAGCATGACACGTGTCACTCAATGATAGAAGGGTGAAAATGGGCTCTAAGCCCACAACCCTAGAAACCGTAAAATGGTGGGAAGCCAATCTACTTAGGTTAAATAACCTATGTTTCGGGGTTTTTTTGATGTGTCCTGCGGGAGAGTTACGATTCCAAGAATGCCCTTCGACGCCTGTGCCTACAAAATCACGAAGACTCCTGGGGGTAGGAGCTCCGCCTCCGACGATCAAGTTAGTAAAGATACTGGAGGTAGAATGCACGTAATGTGGAAGTTACTTCTCGCGTAATGGGAGAATTTCGCAATTAATATTGCTCGGGGTAAGTGTGTTTCTTTTTGAGGAGTATTCAATGTGATCAACAAATGTTCCAGCCCCCATTAATGAGGGTCCTTCCACTATTTATAGTGGGGAAGGGATGGTTCCCCTTTTAGGGTTTAGAGGACACGTGTCAGCAGAAGATTGGAGCCCTGCTGACCAATGGTTGGATGCCACGTGTCACTAGGCCATTGGGCCATGTGATTAGGGTATTTTTACCCCAAACATTTGCCCCTCACTGGTGCTGACGTGGCAGAGTGCCACGTGGCGCCGGTGAAAGGTTTTTTTTTTTTTTTTTTTTGAAGGATGGAAAAGCAGAAGGCAAAGAGTCACGACTTTTCACCTTCCAGGACAAATTCTATAAATAGGAGAAGATGTCCCCCGAGCTCTCATTTACAAACTTTGCCAAATTTCTGAAGATTTGAGAGCAGCCGACAATTTGAGAGTTGAGAGCATTCGGAGTTGAGATTTGTTGAGAGCAACCGGTCTACAGACCGTCTGGGTCGTTGCAAGCTAGCCAAAGATTTTCGAGAGGGTAATCAGAGAAACCCAGCCGGATTTTGAACCGCCTGCGTCTTCGCAAGCATCCCAGAGAATTTCCAGATTTTCTTCTAGGTACCGTCTCTATTCTTTCTAGCTTTTTCATGTATTTCCGTTTGAGTCTTTTACTCGCATTTTTGTTCATTGGTCCCATAAGTAGATGGACCCCTTATACCCATACCCGGAACCTAGCTGTGAACTCAGCCGGTTTATTAGTACGGCTGAGTCTAGAACTGGGTCTGCCGCCTCTGTTCTTTGGGACAACCCTTTTTCAACACCCATATCGACCGACTCTGTGTCTGTGCAGGACACAATGGCCAGAATCCGGTCTACTGCCAGAGATCCCAACTACAGAAGTGGGAGCTCAGATGAGCAGCCGCCTGAGGTCCCAGCTTCAGGCAGTGAAATAGAGCATGGAGAGGTAGAGCAGAGAGGCTCACCCGGGGGCGCTCCTAGCACCCCGGGTGATAGCATTTTAAACGAAGAGAGTGCTCCCCTCCAGGAGACCAGAGAGCAGGTAGGCTCTGATAAGGAGGTCTCCAACTCCCCAGCCGGCTCTGATGCCGGTCACGTTCAAAGTAGCAGTAGCAGCTACTTAACCGAATCTGAGGATAGCGAGGAGGCGGAGAGGCCTTCCTGGGATAATAGGAACGATCCTCTCATGATCGCCGTCTCCTCCAAGGACCGCGAGCTCATGCGGGCTGCGCTGCCAGATTTTATCAAACGGCGGCCGCTGGGGGGTGACTATACAATAAAGGTCCCGGCTGCTCTGGGAACAATATGGTGGGAGGATGGACAACCGAACGCGAACGCTTGGTTCGGGTGCTACGGGGCGGCCTTTGTGGCCGGAGTCCGCTTCCCTCTCCACGACACAATAAGAGCCATACTTAGGGGGTATGGCCTAGGTCTCTGGCAATTAACCCCCAACTCATGGGTAAATATTTTAGGGTATATCGCCGCCTGCGAGATGCAGGGCCTCAACCCCGGCTGGGAGGCGTTTGCCCACATGCATTACTTGAGTAGGAGCCCAGGCGGCTGGAGAGCCTGGTATACCTTGACCACCCAGCCCAAATACCTTATGACCTTGGACAAGCCATCCAAATGGTCGGACTGGAAGCACCGGTTCTACTTGGTTAAGGCCCCAACTACGGCAGAGAACAGAGAATTCCGGATCTACAACCGGAAACCAGAACTCTTGGGGACCAAGTGCTGCCTGCCCCCTGTCCCGGAGGATGATAGAGAGACCATCCTTGACTCCGAGTTTTTTGAGTTAGTTCCTGACACCCTCTCATCCGGAGAGATAGTAAGGGTACCTAGAAACTGGGTGCCCAAACATGAATTTTTTAGGGACGAATGCTTCTTGTCCGCTTGTGGTCTAAGCAGCATGTTTGAAAAACGTATGTATTCGGAACTCAGCCGGTTTCTTTCGAACCGGATGCTTTTATTTCCTTGCTTATTTATTATTCTAACCGTGTGCCTTCCTCTGCAGAAGAAGCCAAGAGAATGCTGCCCACCGAGAAGACACCGGCTAGGTCGGCTGCCGACATCCGGAAAGCCAATCTCGAGAAAAAACTTGCTGCCCAGGCGGCGAAGAAGGTATAACCGTCTGATCCTTCTCGTTTATGTCGATCCTTTTATCCCATAACTTATATTTTTCTCGTTTACAGGACGGGAAGCAGATGCCCCGGTCCCTTCAAAAACAGGTCAGGCCTCCGCCGACCCAACAAGAGTCTGCATCCAAGGTGCAGAAGACAGCCGACCGGCAAACTACCGGCGGCAAATCAATAAGGGTCCCAGACGGGCCTGGATCTGCGGATGTGCTTTCTGCCATCCCATTGAGGACCGCACCCGGTCCCTCTGAACGCCGTTCGGGCCGCCAAGGTAACTTCGACCTTAAACTGCTTGATCTGCCCATGCGGGTCAAGTCTTATTCACAGTCTCGATCGCAGCCGGGGGATTCTCCAATCAGCCGGCAATCTATAGGCAGAGCATATGCGAGTTTCTCACCGTCTGTTTCTGGTGCAGATAATTCTCCCCGCTGGCCGGACGGGGCACAATATGCCCGGGCCATGCTGAAAGCCGTCCCCAGGGACGAGAAGGAGGCGATCCCTGGGATCAACTCCTTTAATGCCGACCGGGTGCTGGTCGACCTGGCCGACGTATGCTCCAACAACCATGCGGTAATTTTCTTGACGTGCATTTTTAAGTATGCAGTATTAACCGGCTGTATTTTTGCAGGCTATGCTGCGCGTAGAGGGGCTCAAACGAGCTTATACCCGCAAGTCTGAGGAGGTAAGGAGAAGCAAACGGGCTGTTGATGACGCCCATAATGTTGCTGACTACTCTTTGTACATGCATGGCTTAGAATCTAAATCTATACGCATGGAACAGGCGGAGAAGACCAAAGCCCTCCAACAGCAGATTGATCAGCTGAAAAACCAAGTTGACCAACTGCAGGCGTCCCTGGATGATGCCAATAAAAAGTTGGAGGAACAGACAGAGCCCCTCCAACGGCTGAGCAAGGCGGAGACTGAAAATGGCCGCCTTGCCAAAGAGAATGAGCGCCTGCGCAAAGAGGCGGCTGCTGCCAATGAGAAATTCAAGGTCACCTTGGAGTCGGAGCAGGAGAGGCTCATTGAAGAGAATGAGCATGACTGTGCAAACCGGATGCAACGGGCGTTTTCCCTCATCCACCCGGAGGCGGACTTCACCGTCTGGGAACTCGCCTTCAAATATTCTGATCTTGCCATTCTGGCCGAGGAGGCGAATGAGCCGGGGCCCGGACCCTATGACGCTTGGGTTAGGGAGGAGATTGCGCGACGGCAGGCGGAGGCTGCTGAAGAGGAAGAAGTCGTTCCTGAAGCCGACGCAGCTGCTCACCCTGATCCAACCCAGAACCAACCGGAATAGGACCGGCTCACTGTTCGCCTGGAGTAGCAACTACTTCCCGGCCTGCGAGCCTAGCATTATTTTGTAATAGCGCCGGATGAGATGGGCTAAGCTGTAATAATTCTTATTTTGAATATAAACATTTTCACCGGCTGAGCCGGCTTTTGAATGCTTTTTATGTTTCTGCACTCCAATATTAGAATTCTTGTTATTTTTTATACATATTTCTGCGAGGATAACCAAAAGAACCCCGCCGGTAACACTACCGCTTGGGTCTGCGCAAACAGCAAAGAAATTTGCAAAGGTAGCCAAGAAGACCCCACCGGTAATACTGCCGTCTGGGTCTTCGCAAACTAGGCGAAGAAATTTGCAAGGGCTGCCAAGAAGACCCCACCGGTAACACTGCCGTCTGGGTCTTCGCAAACTAGGCGAAGAAATTTGCAAGGGCTGCCAAGAAGACCCCACCGGTAACACTGCCGTCTCAGTCTTCGCAAACTAGGCGAAGAAATTTGCAAGGGTTGCCAAGAAGACCCCACCGGTAACACTGCCGTCTGGGTCTTCGCAAACTAGGCGAAGAAATTTGCAAGGGCTGCCAAGAAGACCCCACCGGTAACACTGCCGTCTGGGTCTTCGCAAACTAGGCGAAGAAATTTGCAAGGGTTGCCAAGAAGACCCCACCGGTAACACTGCCGTCTGGATCTTCGCAAACTAGGCGAAGAAATTTGCAAGGGTTGCCAAGAAGACCCCACCGGTAACACTGCCGTCTGGGTCTTCGCAAACTAGGCGAAGAAATTTGCAAGGGCTGCCAAGAAGACCCCACCGGTAACACTGCCGTCTAGGTCTTCGCAAACTAGGCGAAGAAATTTGCAAGGGTTGCCAAGAAGACCCCACCGGTAACACTGCCGTCTGGGTCTTCGCAAACTAGGCGAAGAAATTTGCAAGGGTTTCCAAGAAGACCCCACCGGTAACACTGCCGTCTGGGTCTTCGCAAACTAGGCGAAGAAATTTGCAAGGGCTGCCAAGAAGACCCCACCGGTAACACTGCCGTCTCAGTCTTCGCAAACTAGGCGAAGAAATTTGCAAGGGTTGCCAAGAAGACCCCACCGGTAACACTGCCGTCTGGGTCTTCGCAAACTAGGCGAAGAAATTTCGACCCAAAACCAAACCGGATGGCGTCTGGGTAATTGCCCCTGGATAGCGGTCTGGGTCTTTGCAAGCCAGGTGACTATCCATATGATATAGCTCGAATATACACTAAGTGCCAACATTAGATTCGGGAGCCAGTCGGTTTACACTGAATTACCGGTCGGGACTTCGCAAAAGAATCACGCCAGATTAGGATGTCCATTCACCGGTTGGGCTTTTGCAAGCATACCCCTGAATGAATATGGCCTAGACCAAATGTTTAGGCCTGATTTTAGAGAGTCAGGCGGCGGTACTGAGTACCGGCTGTCCTTCCAAAAAGTGAGCCGGCTGCAAGTTTGGGGTTGCTAGCCTGCCTTTTTTGGTACGAAGGATCGTCAGGCGGATTTGACCGCCTGTGTGATCGCTTAGAACAATTTACCACCCAAATGGGAGATGTTCTCTTCGATGAATTCACCCGTAGGGGTGTCACCGGATGATTTTAGGCCTGCTCTTAGAGAGTCAGGCGGATTTGTCCAAAATGGGAGCCGGCTGCAAGTTTGGGGTTGCTAGCCTGCCCTTTTTTGGTGCGTAGGATCGTCAGGCGGATTTGTCCGCCTGTGTGATCGCTTAGAACAATTTACCACCCAAATGGGAGATGTTCTCTTCGATGAATTCACCCGTATGGGTGTCACCGGATGAAAAAATTAGTTACTGGTGCCGCTTGTGGTAGGCACAAAACATGGCGGCTGTATACAAAATTGAATGTAATTCTCATTAATCATTTGAAAATTTTTAAGAGATGTACAATGCTTAGAAGTAGTATTTTTTGAGGTTATCTACATTCCAAGTTCTAGGCAACTTTCTTCCGTCTGGAGTTTCCAGGCGGTAAGTGTCGTCTCGTACTTCTTCAAAGATCCGGTAGGGTCCCTCCCAATTTGGGGTTAATTTGCCTTGTTCATTGGCCCTACCGGTTGCCTCCATTTTGCGAAGCACAAAATCTCCTTCTTTCAAAGGTCTTTTACGAACCCGCTTGTTGTAGGCTCTAGTCATACGCAGACGGTAGATCTCATGACGCAAGGCAGCATTCCCCCTTCGCTCTGGAAGAGCGTCTAATGCCAACTGCATGGCTTCCCAGTTAGCCTCCTCATCATATAACATAATGCGTAGAGTAGGCTCATAATGTTCAATGGGAAGAACTGCTTCAGTGCCGTATGTCATGAGAAATGGGGTCTCACCGGTTGCCCCCTTTTCGGTTGTCCGGATAGCCCAAAGGACATGAGGTAATTCCTCCGCCCATAGTCCACCGGCTCTTTCTACTTTCTTCTTTATCTCGTCTGAGATCAACTTGTTAAAAGCCTCAACTTGACCGTTTGCCTGAGGACGGCCAACGGATGCAAAACAATGGGAAATTCCTTGGTCTCCCAACCAGGTCTTCAGGACAGGCGTTTCGAACTGCGGTCCGTTGTCGAAAACCATGGACATTGGAACCCCGAACCGGGTGATGACGTTTCTCCAGATGAAAGAAATCACGTCTTTCGTTTTAATCCCTTTTACCGCCTCTGCCTCAACCCATTTGGTGAAGTAGTCTACTGCTACAAGAATGTAGCGGCGGCCGCCTGATGCAGGCGTATAAGGTCCCAAAATGTCCATGCCCCATTTAGCAAACGGAACCGGACTATGGATTGACGTGAGTTCTGTTGCCGGTTGATGTATCAACTTAGCGAATTTTTGGCACTTGTCGCATCTCTTTACTAGATCCATGGCATCCGCTTCAAGAGTGGGCCAGAAGTACCCTTGCCGTCTGGTTCTTCTGGCCAGGGACCTGCCGCCAATATGCGAGGCACAAAACCCCGCGTGCAGATCTTCCAAAACTTCTCTCCCCCTATCCGGGGTTACACATTTCAAAAACGGCTGCAGGTATCCCTTCCGGAGGAGTTCCCCTTGATGCATAACAAAACTTGAAGCACGCTTCTTGAGCGCTGATGCTTCTGAAGGGTCATCCGGCAAGGTACCATCCGTCAAAAAGGACCGGATGGGATCCATCCAAGTAGCAGTTCTGTCCAAGACTCCAATGGGATCATTCTGAATACTTCGTTTTTCAATGACTTCCCAAAAGACCGTCCTAGGAGCATCACCAGAGGCTGATGATGCCAACTTTGAGAGGGCATCCGCCTGATTGTTTTCAGACCAGGGGCACCTGTCGCAGATGAAATTCATCGAAGGACCCAGCCTCCTCTTTGACCGCCTGCAAATATTTGATCATAGCCGGATGGGTGGCTTCGTAGTCACCAAGGTATTGGCTAATGATCAGCTGTGAATCTGAGCAGGCGTCGACCTTTCTTGCACCGGCTGCCTTACACATGCGCAATCCGGCTACCAGGGCTTCATACTCTGCCTCATTGTTGGAGGCTTGGAACTTAAACCGTAGTGCATATTCAAACTTATCCCCTTCCGGGGAATGACAGATAACACCTGCACCACAGCCGTTCACCGTAGAGCTGCCGTCTACAAATAACTTCCAGACCTGATCAGGGTTTTCCGGGTGCACCGGCCTAGTCATCTCGACAATAAAGTCGGCAAACGCCTGACCTTTCACTGCCCGCCTGGGTTCAAAAGTTATCTCAAGGCCTTGTATTTCAACAGCCCACTTGATCATTCTACCGGATGACTCTATAGCAGTCATCGTACGCTTGAGCGGCTGATCTGTTTATACCACAACCGGATGTGCCAAAAAGTAAGGCTTCAACCGCTTGACTGCTACGAATAAGGCCAACCCAAATTTATCGATCATGGGGTACCGGAGTTCAGCATTTTTTAAGACATGGCTGATGAAGTACACCGGCAGCTGAATGCCGTCTCTCTCAGCGAGGAGAACGGCACTAAGGGCGTGATCAGAGACGGCTAGGTACATGTACAGAACCTCCCGGGGTAGGGGGCTCACTAGCCTTGGCAAAGAATGAAAGTGCTGCTTCAGCCTCTGGAATGCCGCCTCTGCTTCTTCACCCCATTCAAACCTTGACCTCTTCCTGATTGCCTGGAAGAAATAGAGGCACTTGTCACCTGACCGGCTGAGGAACCTCCCCAATGCCGCCAGACAACCGGTCAACTTCTGGAGTTCTTTTACAGTGCGGGGAGACTTCATGTCAATTACCGCCTGTATTTTGTCCGGATTAGCTTCGATGCCTCTTTGGTCAATCAAGAATCCGAGAAACTTCCCAGACTCAACACCAAATACGCATTTCTTTGGGTTAAGCATGACCCGGTGCCGCCTGAGTGTGGTGAAGGTTTCTTGCAGGTCTGCTAGGTGATCCGTCTGTAGCTTGGATTTGACTATCATGTCATCGATATACGCCTCTACATTCCTGCCAATCTGGTTGATAAAAACGGTGTTTATCATGCGCTGGAATGTAGCCGGTGCATTCTTCAACCCAAACGGCATCACCGTATAGCAGAATAACCCCTGATCAGTGACAAAAGTCGTCTTCTCCTGATCTTTCTTCCAGAGAGGTATTTGATGGAAGCCGGAATAAGCATCCATAAAGCTCATTAGTGCATGGCCGGCTGTTGAGTCGACTAGGCTGTCAATCTTT